TCTGAAGAGAAAAATTCACAAGATTCAAAAACATTCATTATATATTGTTTTATCAAATAAATTTGTTATTGTCACGATCAAAGACGTCTTTTTTCATTGTTAAGTTACGCACAATTTTCATATATTTGATGGATCATATATCTTCATGATGCTCTCAAAAGTCCCAAGACTGCCCCCAGGATCCCCTACAAAATTCACGCCTTTGGCGCTCATTAACTATTTAAAAACAAAAAACAAAAAAAAACTGATTTAATAATTGTTTTACATCTTAATCAGCTGTGTCACCAATATTTCATTCATTTCAGKGAAGTGAAGTAACGAGGCATATGGAACCAGCGCTATTTCTATTGGGCTCTAAATTTTTTCTGTGCTCCGGGAACAGAGTGCAAGCTTTGGAATCGGGAGCAATTGTCCTAGGAATCATTCAGGRGTGGATTAGGAATCATTTTTGAGGATCAGAGATCGATAAAACTATATACCTCGTTACTAACCTGTCATGTACTGTGCCTCAAAAAGTAGTGTACATGGTATCAATTCATATAGGATCGATTTACATGGGATCAATTYACATGGATGGGATCAATTCACATGAGATCGATATACATCGGATCATTTCACATGGGATAAATTCAAATGCGATCGATTCACTTTAGAGCGAAGGGATCCAATTCAGCCAAGTTAAGAATTCCAAAAACGAGATAATTCCATTRCCATCATGATCCATGTTGTGAAACTCTTTGTCACAATTCACGTGAGTATATCCAAGAGATCTCACCAACAAGTCGAACTCTTTGCGATCCAATGATCCGTTATCRTTTTTATCAAATACTTTAAATAATTCCACTGCTTTGGATATGATAGAAAACCTTGAGGTATCTTGGATATATCGATAACGGTCAGTACTGTGTAGCCATTCAACCAASTCATTCAATGTTACCTAATAATGCCATATTAAAAGATTAGAGTAGTTCATCGTTAAAGTGCACATGACATGACACCTTTTAGAAAAACACTTTTATCCGAAAGGTAACACGCTGCCAAGTACTTCTGTGAAGAAAGAAATAGATTTTGAATTGTATTTTTTGTGTTATAGACATTTGAAAATTGAAAATGCAAATGAAGTGACGTCAACTAAGGARTTGRTCCAGACTTTTTACATTGTTTGCSCTATGCTGTTTTTGGTTGAAGAGCTAAAAACATCAATCKCAGTAATAATTGCGAACTGAAAATGCTTTTTCCAATGTAACAAAAAGAATTACGTTCYCTTCCATGATTTTGTATATCAAATCATTCCTTAGTAGACGTCACTTCATTTGCATTTTCTAAGTTTCAATCGCCCATAACTTAGAAAATACAATTTAAAATCGATTTCTTTCTTCACAGATGAACTTAGCAGCATTTTCTCTTTTGGATGAGAATGAATTTCTAATGGTGTCATGTGCACTTTAA